TAGTCCCGCCTTAAGGCATGAAAGCCAGCTGGAGGACTTTGGGCCAATCACCAGGAGACTGGGAGTTCTAGTCCCGCCTTAAGGCATGAAAGCCAGCTGGGGGACTTTGGACCAATCACCAGGAGACTGGGAGTTCTAGTCCCACCTTAGGCATGAAAGCCAATTGGGTGACTTTGGGCCAATCACCAGGAGACTGGGAGTTCTAGTCCCGCCTTAAGGCATGAAAACCAGCTGGGGGACTTTGGGCCAATCAGTCTCAGCCCAACCTACCTCACAGGGTTGTTGTTTTGGGGACAACAAGGTGGAAGACTTGAGTATTAAGTACCTTCACTGCCATGAGTTATTTACAAATAAGAATAGAGGCAGGATAAAAGGAAAGAAATTTTGATTCTTTATGAAATGATAAAAGGTATTATAAAACTGAAAATCGGCGTCCTGTTTCAAGCTAAGGTTGCAATGTTTGTTTAATTTCTCTTTCATTATCCAGCTTCTAACAAAAACTGCCTGGACCCTGAGTTTCTGAAGGCAATTCCTATTATGAAAACACGGAGTGGAATGCAAGTAGGTGCCAGTGCGTTTTTTTCCCTTTTTCCTCGCTTACTTACAGGCCCTGCAGCCTACTACGAAGTTACTCTTCCCGCCCGCCCAGTGAGGTTCTTTTGTGCAACCCACTTGATTTAATTGTACTGCCGTTGAAGAATACAGCGGCTTCCTGACTGCGGTCTCCCTAAATCTCAGAACTGGATGTTCAAATACAGACAGTCCTCGATTTTACGACCACACGAACCCAAAATTTCCTGTGGATAAGTGAGGCATTTGGGTGTTGCCCCACTTTATGACTGTTCTTGCAACTGTTGTTAAGTTGGTTGACACGGTTGTTAAATGGAGCAGGCTTCCCCGTTGGTTTCGCTTGTCCGAAGGTCGCAAAAAGGGGATCGGGGACGCTGCGACCGTCGTAAATATGAGACAGTTGCTGAAGCGTCCCGGTTTTGAATCAGGTGACCACGGGGAAAGCTGCAGTGGTCGTAAGCATGAAAAACGGTCGTAAAACACATTTTTTTCAGTGCTGTTCTGACTTTGAATGGATACTAAATGAACTGCTGTAAGTTGAGGCTACCTGTATTAAACTTCTAAGAAGTTTGGAACCCCTTGGAAGACTTCAACTCCCAGTATTCAGTTGCTGGCTGAGGAATTCTGGGAGTTGAAGTCCACAAGTCTGTAAGTTCCCGTAGTTGAGAAATACGGTTTAGAGCAGAGTTTGCATCCTTTTTAAGATCGATGGACTTCAACTCCCAGAATTCAGTTGCTGTCTGGGGAATTCTGGGAATTGAAGTCCACCCATTGCTGAGGTTGAAAAATATGGTTCAGAAGAGTGTTCCCCATCCTTTTTAAGACGGATGGGACTTCAAATCCCAGCATTCAATGGCTGGCTGAGGAATTCTGGGAGTTACAGATACAGATAATCAGAGTTGGAAGGGACCTTATAGGTCATCTAGTCCAACCCCCCTGCCCAAGCAGGAGACCCTACACCATTTCTGACAGATGGCAGTCCAGTCTCTTCTTGAAAGCCTCCAGTGATGAAGCTCCCACAACTTCCGAGGGCAACTTCTGTTCCATGGGTGGATTGTTCTCCCTGTCAGAAAATTCCTCCTTATTTCCAGGTTGAGTCTCTCCTTGGTCAGTTTCCATCCATTATTCCTTGTCTGGCCCTCAGATGCCTTGGAGAATAGCTTGACCCCTTCCTCCTCTCTGGGGCAGCCCCTCAAATATTGAAAGATGCTCTCCTGTCTCCCCTGGTCCTTCTCTTCCCTAGACTAGCCAGGCCCAGTTCCTGCAACCATTGAAGTCCACCTGTCTTTCAGTTCCTGTAGTTGAGAAATAAGATTTAGAACAGTGATCACCTCCTTTTTAAGACTGATGGGACTTCAACTCCCAGCATTCAATTGCTGTCTGGGGAATTCTGGGAATCGAAGTCTACCCGTCTTCAATTTCGGGTCGCTGTCAGGATTCCAGCAGTTACCCCCGATTTAAATCCTGAGACTCGAGCCAAACTTCCAAAACTAAACAGGATTTATTGGGAGTTAACATGTCCGGCACTACCTGGGTGTAGCCGACTCCGAGGCACATCATTCACTGTCACCCTTGACCCTGGTTTCCCCTCCTCTGTGTGTGTATCGTAATTCATATCCTCCAATGGGACACCTCCCTAGCCCAGAGTCCTCAATCATGTTGTCCACTTAGAATTTTGCGGGGCAAAAACTTCAGTCACCTAGTTACTATCTTTGAAAACATTTATGGAATGTATTTTCGGTTTCCAAGCTGCCACACTGCTCTTTTCAAATCCCTTTCCTCCCCATCCAACTCTCAAACAGCCATAGGAATGTTTTATGAGTTGACACCGTGGTTGAGAAATATGGTTTAGAAAAGGGGTCTCCAGCCTTGGCAACTTTAAGCCTGAAGGACTTCAACTCCCAGAATTCCTCAGCCAGCAATTGAATGCTGGGAGTTGGAAGTCCCACCCGTCTTAAAAAAGGATGGGAACTCTGCTCTAAACCGTATTTCTCAACTCCAGGAACTTAAAAGACAGATGGACATCAACTCCCAGAATTCCTCAGCCAGCAATTGAATGCTGGGAGTTGAAGTCTTCCAAGGGGCCCCAAACTTCTTAAAAGTTTAATTTAATACAGGTAGCTGGCTGGGGGATTCTGGGAGTTGACGTCCTCCAGGCTTAAAAGTTGCCAAAGTTGAAGGCCTCCGCTTTAAGAGCAGAGTTCCCCGTCCTTTTGAAGACCGATGGACTCCAACTCCCAGCATGCAATTGCAGTTGCTGGGCTGGGGGATTCTGGGAGTTGAAGTCCACCCGTCTTCGATTTCCTGCGCTTGAGAAGCTCTGGTTTAAACCCAGTACGGGCAGGAAAGCGAGAGGTGCAAGATACGCCCCTCACACACACCCGCTTTGACCCGCTGCCAACGAAGCTCTTAAGGGCGGATTCCTTTTGCTTCCCTCCCCCCCCCCCCCCTCCTGCGCCCCCCCCCGCCACAGCAACCCGGAGAACGCCTACGAAGTCTGGGTCTGCAACAGCGACGGCTACGTGGGGCAGGTCTGCCTGCTGAGCATCCGGAAGGAGCCCATCGTGGAGGCCTGCATTGCCGTCTGCTCCGCCCGGATCCTGTGCATCGCCTCGGTGCCGGGTCTCAAGAGGACCTACAGGTAGCGGCCCGGCCAGCCCGCCTCGACCTCTGGCGGTGGGGAAGGGCGGGGGATTGAGGTGGGCTCTGCTTGGGAATCTCCAGAAGGGTTTTCCAAGGATTCCGCTGCGGAAGGAAGGATCGGTCTCTGCGGAGTTTTGGCTTCAGTCTTTCGTGCGGGAAAAATTATACGGGCCGTGATTTTAATGAGAGGAGAGGAGGAGAGGAAGAGAGGAGAGGAGAGGAAATAGAATAGAGGAGAGGAGGAGACAAGAGTAAAGGAGAGGAGAGGAGTAGAGAAAAGGAGAGGAGGAGAGGAGAGTAAAGTAGAGGAGTAGAGTA